TATGCAGCGTATTATTTGTTGAAACTGTACTTTCGATTTGATTTGAAACTGTCTCATTGCTATATGTTTATCAATAAAACTTTGAAAAGAAAAAAAAAAGAAGAGGAGGAAAATGAGGAAGAGGAATGGGGTGGGGGTGGAGGAAGAGAAGGCAGGGCCTTGGTTTTTGGTTAGGGCTGTTGGTGGAGCACCTTTGGGTGTGATAGAGAAGCCTGATGCTGTGAGCAGAATGACAATCACCCATAAGCCATAACCCTGGACACTGTAAATGTTATTTCAGAAACAATGCACTCAAGCCTTGTGTGGGCGCCCGTGTGGCATCATGCCCAGGTGCCAGGGCAGAGCTACCACTCACACAGGCTCTTAGGCTGCTGTGTGGTACACGGCTATAGATCTTCCCTTGAAAAGTGCCCGGTCTGAGGTGACAACTCCAGCCCTTCTCTTTTCCAGTTGTCAGATTTCTAGGGTAGAATCTGGTCATCCCAGTGGTGGCCTGGAGTGGACATTTGCCCCTTTGTAGTGACCAGGGCAGGCTTGTCACCCCTGTGTGCACGGCCACATCACCCTTCTCCCTCATTTCCATCCCATCTACCTGAAAGGTGAATTGGAGACCTCTGAGGAAGAAACTGTGACAAAATGTGACTCTAAACACAGAGCAAGCGAGCAGTGGGTGGACGCAAGACCTGGTGCCACCACACGCTGGAGATGCCTTTAGACATTTAGACCTAGAGGTTGGGGTTGTGGCTTGGTGGGGAGAACTTGTGAGGGCCTGGGTTCCACTCCCCCAAAGCAAAAATAGAGAGCTGAACATTAAGTATTCTGTTTTATAGCAACTACTACATCAATTAAAGAGAAAGAAAAATGCCACATTTATTTATTTATTTATTTATTTATTTATTTATTTATTTTGCGGTACTGGGGATTGAACTCAGGACCCTGCGCTTGGCAGGCAGGCTCTTATTCCACTAAGCTATCTCCCCAGCCCCCAAATTTATTATTAAGAGTTGTTTTAAATTCCTGCAGCAAAGAAGAAGGAACATTTCTGCCCACAGCTAAAAGAGTAAGCACAGAGACCATGGTCAAAGGGACACAACTGGATCCCAAAGCTGGCTCTGCTAACCCCACCTGGCCAACAAGGAAGGGCCTGTGGCCTCTGTCCCTGTCATAAATGCTACAGGGACACACAGTTGGGAAGACCCCACACAGGTGAAGATGTTGCCCAATGGCAGCCCTTGGTTCCAATGCCCAGTGGAAGGGGACTGGGGTAGGCAGCGCCAGGTCTGCCTACAGCTTGGTAGGCTGCAGCTGGGTGAGGTGGCCAGGTCCAGTGGGTGCGGGCAGAACCATGGGCAGTGAGTTGCTGCCCTTCTCATGCCAGCACGTGTCCAGGATAGGGAAGAGCTTGCCCTGGAAGTCAGCCTGGAACGTGTAAATCGGTCGCAGGTCATCAGGGCGATCAGCATCGAAGAAGGTGAGCTCCCCCTGCTCATAGTGCAAGTAGACCCCGACCCGGTGGGGGTGGCCTACCACAGGCAGCGGTACCCGTGGGCAGCTGAAGGCCTCGTACACGCGGCCCTCCTTGAGACCAACCAGCCACACTCCGTGCTCCGGGGACTTGTTCAACTTGCCCTTGCGGCTGGCCGTGCCCTTGATGACCCCCAGGCGCCAGTCGCTCTTGTTGCCCACCAGCACCTCCCAGTAGTGGCGGCCACAGGAGAAGCCCCGGGTGGCCAGGACGCAGGTGCTGTAGTCGAAGCGCTCAGGCTGGCTGGCGCGCCGCTGGGCCAGGAGCCCGCACTGTACCACTGTGTTGCCCTTGGTGAGCTCCAGGAGGGGGTGGGCGGTGGTAGGGTCCAGCTTGAGAGACTCTGGGGCTGGCAGGGAAAGCAGAGAAGGCCTGGTGCTGAGCCACACATACAGTGGCAGGAGAAGGAAAGCCCTGAGCTCCTCACAGGAGCCTAGAGGGAGTCAGGCACACAGCTGTGTGCTGGACGGGCGCGCCAGACAATGGCTGAAGCCTGCAGACATGGCAGTGTGAGCGGGAGTCTAGTAAGGCAGGAGCGTCACCCTGGGCATGGAACTGCAGGCAGCGCAGCAGGAGGCGAACAGGAGCTAGTAAAGCTCCTGAAGCTTCATCTGCCCCCCTCCCCAACTCTGCAGACTGAGCGCCACCTGTCAGATCAGCAGGAAGTTAGATTCCCACTGGACAGCGGTCCTTGCTAGGAACTGCCCTGGGCTCCTCTGAATCATCTGCAAACCATCATCCCATGGCAGGGTGAGGCATGGTAAAGGGCACAGAAGGCCGCTCTCTGATATGGCCCAGACCTCTCTAGAGGCTGCTGGAGAGCCCAGGACAGCAGCGGCCATGCCCTGTTGGCCGGACCAGCCTGTGCAGGGACAATCCGTGCCGCTCACCTCTTTGCTAACCACAGCTAACCAGGTTACCCCAGCAGTGCGCAGGCAAGACTCGCTGTCCACTGGCTGCAACTTGTTCTCCCCTTTCTTTTATATAAACTCTGACTTTGCCTTTGGTGGGAACACTAGTCTGGACTGAGCTCCTTTATATACACATAAGGAGCACGGGAGTAATAAAGGAACTGATCCAGCATCGGGGTTTTCTGGCAGAGAATGACTGCCATTTGTTAAGCACTAAGCCTCACACCGGAGTGCGTACGGGGACTCTGCCACCCAGCCAGGCAGGCCTTACCAGCTCCTCTTTAGGAGCCTGAGGCTGAGAAATGACACGACGTGGCCAGCCTGCTAAGACAAGGAGCTGCGCAGTGAGACCCAGCCCAGGCGCTTGCCTCTGCTCCATGCACCTTCCTCTGAGTTTCTTGTGTCTTCAAGCCCTCTCATGCCACTCGTGAAAAGCAAAAGGACAGGTTGGCGCCTCACCTGGCAGAACTTTCCGGAAAAGCCTCTTCCACACTGTCAGCTTGATGTCAGCCTGGTGGAGGCCTGGCTTGAAGGAGATAGGGCTGAAGGCACCTTCCAAAGGCCGTGCCTGCTGGAGCTCTGCTCTGCAGGTGACAGTCACAGGGATGAGAGAGCTTTGTGTCCTCAGCCACAGCCCACCCTCTGTCCCCCTGGGCAAATCCACACTCAGTGTGCGTTCACACTGCCCACCACATCCCACTTGTCCTGTCCTCAAGCACCCAGCTCCTTCCTAGAAGTGGTCCTGAGAGAACAGGCTTCGGGGCCCCCACTGGGGCAACTTCATGCCTGAGTGGCTCTGCCAATGCCCCTGCTGTTCCTGTCCACATAATGCTGGGACCACCCTGCCATCTCCCTCCTCAGCAGCCTGCCAGACCCCTGGAGCACGGACTGACTTTTGCTGTTCACCCTGAGCTTGAGGACCAGAGCCAGATGTGGGAAGCTGCCCAAAGGTGGCTGGTTAAACCAAATGGGGGAGACAGGGGTGCTGCCCACGCCTGCAGCCACCAGTCGGCCAACGACACTATCCCAGCAGCTCTGTGGCGGGTGTTACCTGGGGGCCATGGCACGGTACTTCTGGAAGACAAGAGCGAGGCAGGCGGTAGTTACGGCAAAGCCACTTGGCTGTCAGGGAAGGGAGGGCTCTGGGTCTCCCCTGGGCCACTCACCTGGATGAACTCGTGGTGGCTCTCATTGCCGAGCTGCTGCAGCGCGTGCTCAACCTGCGCCAGCCTCTCCCGGGTGCTGTGGGCCTGCTCCAGCTGCATCTCCAGGGAGGCCACGAGGCCGCGGGTGTGCCCCTCCACGCCCTCCAGGCACCGGGCCTTCTCCTCGTCCACGAGGTGGTGTAGTTCCTGGAACTCTCGGCGGATTACCCAACTGAAGACATCAGACTCATTCTGGGACAAGGGAGGGCAGCTCATGGCAGAGTCAGCATTGAGCAGCCGGGCCTCCCTGGACTGACACCTGCCAGGGAGTTCACACTGGGCTTGGGGAGCCTGGGAGGCAGCCGTGGGGATGGGGACCAGTGACAGGACCCCAGCTCTTTCAAAATGAACAGCCCTGCTTGTGATTGTTTCAACCGTTACCTATAAGGTCCACAACTGAGCAGGACCTGAGAGGCTCTGTGGAGCGAGCTTGGAAGGGAGTTGCCCAGGACTAGTGCCTGGGTGGACTGAGCACTTCCAGGTAGAGCCAACACCCCCCAGCATTCTCCCACCAGGCAGGCCTCTGCCCCCAGGACACCATGACATGCTGTCAAGGGCAAACGCGCACAAACCACACCAAGGGGTAGGAAAGTCACGCCTGAGCTTTGGGCTGTTTATCTCTGGGACTCAAGTCCTGGGTTATCTCAGCCCCAAGGACATGGAGGACAAGAGCCAACTTGGAGCCGGTCCTGCCTGACAACTGGGCTGAATTCTCCAGGGAGGATTTGCACTTTCCCCACCCACTCTGGAATGCTTTGAACTCTGCTTTGGATGGAAGATATGGTTTTTAGTAAAGGACAAATAGAACTGGGCCCGCTGGGGGTGTGGCTCAGTGGCAGAACCCCTGTCCAGCCTGCACAGGCCCTACGTTCTATCGCCAGCACTGAGAAAAACAAGTGGGCTCTTTGGGAAAGTTCAGAGGAAATGGGCACTCACCACAATCCGGGTCCTGTTGTTCACTAGTTTGGCAATGAGTTCGGCCACCTCCTTTTGCTCCTGCTTCACATCAGAGATGAGGCCTGCGAGCTCCTCCTGGGGTCAACACAACATGGCCCATGAGCAGGGGACCTGCCATCCCCTCTGCTCCTCAGGCCAGCTCTGGGGCTCTCCCTTGTTGACATAATCCAGCAGCCACAAGCAACCCCACTGGAACAGGGCAGGGACCAGAACTGCCCAGGTTTTCATGGCCCCAAAATAGGTTAAGAGTGTTCCACATGGCCACAGGAGCTGCCAAGACAGGAGAAATCTCAATGTCATCCCTTTGCAGGACATGGATGAGAAACATTGTCACAGCTACCTGCAAGCTACCACACAACATCTGATAGTGGGGACAAACAATCCGAAGCCAACTCTCCCTGCGTCTATGTGGGCCATGTGGGATCCGTGGGTAAGCGGCCATCACCAGCAGGTCCAGAATAAATGAGCCTTTATCAAGAGTCATCACAGAAAGACTGCTCCGGTGAGGCTGGTGCTGCAGACAGTGACACAGGTGACACCCAGTGACGTCGCCTACACACACCTAAATCCCTCCCAGGTGGCTGAGGGCCTAGCTCAATGTGAGGCCTCCGTGTAGACGTATACACACTTCTGGACTGCCCTGACCCCAGGGTGCCCAGCCTCGGGGCTACCAAACCAGGCCCCTGCACCACGATCTGGTCACCGCTGGCCCAGACCCTGCTGGTTTGGGGATAGGGTATTTGGGGTCTCTGGTCTAGATGATCCCCAAGCAAAAAAAAGCTGCACAGATTTTGGGAAAGGAGCCAAGAAGAGAGGTAGGTACAACGTCCTTGCTCCGAGGCCTCGGAGAATCTCACCACAGCCCCAAAAGGGTATTTCTGTGGTCACTGGATGAGGCAGAGAAGGTACTAGATCTTGTCAACATGGCCACATGGAGAGGAAACTGCAAGTCAGTCAGTCATGTGCTCCACAGAGAAGACAAGAAACCCCAATAGAGTACACAGAGGAACGGGTAAAGGGGGTAGCAGGTTGCATCACACGGCTGGGCTGGCCTGGCCCTGCCCTCCCCTGGACACTCCCCACCGCAGATCCTTTTCTGCGCCCCTCAGCTGTGACAGAGGAAGTCAGGAAGTCTTCCTTCTAGATATTTCCCAGGGTGCCCTAGGCCTCCCTGCCCATGCAGGCCCTGTATCTCACTCTGTCCCCCCTACACACATTCCAGTCTACACCCCGTCAGAGGGGCCTGATCACGTCATGACCGTGCTTCCAAGCTCCTGAGCACCCTGCCCATCCATAGCATCCCAGTAAATCCAGGTCCCTTCCTGTGTTGCACAGGCCACGACCGACCACCAAGCCAAGTACCGTTCTCCCTTCCTGCCACTTCTCAACCCACAGAAGTGCAAAGGAACCCCGCCTCTGCTGGAGCCCTAGCTCCCCACGTGCAAGCCATCCGCCCATGAACTGGCTCCTTCCTGCTCTCAGTCTCGGTTCCCATATTTGTAAAATACAATAATACCCGCACCCTGCCCGCCTCCCAGAATTGTTCTAAGGAGTAAATGCAATTGTGCAGATGAAACTATTCTTTCCGGAAACCTCTCGATGACCTCGTGACCCAAGACGGTGCTGCTCCTCTGTCTCCTAAGTGATGCTGCTCTGGTCTGGTGCTGTGCTCCGTGGAGTCGGGGGATAGCTGATTCCACAATCAGCTGTGGGCATTTATAGCGATAAGTCTCAGGGCACTGAACTACACCAGGCAACCAAGGTCCCCACCTTCTGAGCACACAGGCAGGACTGCGCTCTAGAAAGAAACCAGTAATCCAAAGAACAGAGGAAAAAAGGGCTGCCAGGTAACACCAGGGGCTCCCCCTCCTGCGTGTGGCTGCAAGCCCAGCACCTGGTTCAGCATCTGCCCAACATTTTGATGCCTGAAACAAAGCACGCCTGCTCAGGCATCGCAGAAAGAAAATCAAGGCCTGACAGAGAATACTGCAGTTTCTGCCGGATGGTGGCGCCAGAGAGCACGGGGTTTGTTTTAAGTTCGGGCCGGGGTTTTTCCCGCCGGTTCCCGGCGGCCCCCCTTCTCACCTTCATGCGGCTGTAGACAGTGGATACTGGAGTGACCCGGTGATGCTGGTGGGAGCCCAACAGGCCACAGAGGCCGCAGATGAGCTCTTGGTCCTTCTCGCAGAAGAGGCTGAGTGGGTTTCGGTGGTGCTCACAGACCGTGGGCTCTGCGGCCCCAGGGAGCTGCAGAACTTCGATCACCCGGGCCAGGGACACGTTGGGCGGGGAGCTGCTGCCATCCACCTCCTGGCGACACACGGGGCATCGAAGCTCCGAGTCCAGGTGGCATGACAGAGACACCAGGCAGCCCTTGCAGTACGAGTGGCCGCACTGCAGCATCAAGGGCTCCTTGAAGACCTCCAGGCAGATGGGACATTGAAGCCGGTCCTGCAGCTCGGGCACTCTCACCTGCCACGCCATGCGCGCTGCCCGGGCTGGAAGGCGGGTGTGGGCTCAGTCCTGCCGCTCCTGCCCTCCGACCATACTTACCCACCCCACCAGGCCAAGGGCTGCCAGAGCGTAGGAGGAGGGACAGATTCCACTCTTAGAACTTAGAGGGAAGCCCTCAATTCCAGTTTTAGCCCACTACCAACTTGGGTCTCAGTTTCCCCATCTCTAAAACAAAGGGCTTGGTTTCAAAGAGGTCCCATGGGGATAGATGAATTCTACCTTGTCACCTCGGATTGGAAATAAATTCTACCTTGTCACCGCTGGGGGCCACCTGTGATGCTGATAAATAAGGTTCCTGCCCCAGCTGTTCTGCAGCCTAGAATTGGATGGAAGAGACAAGCTACGCCCTTCCCCTGGTCTGGAACAGCCAAGCAATGCCAGAAGCCTAGTTACACTGGGGTTCCTGAGTGCCACCTTCAGGGGTTCTCCTGGGCGGGGTGGCTCTAATGAGACCTGGAAGTCTGCATATGTAGTAGGCACCTCCAGGTAGTGCTAGAGCAAGAATTCTGTCCCAGAGCAACGCTGTCCCCCAGAGTTTGGGACCAGGGAGGCCTTGGCACCCTGGTGGATGGTGACCAGCAGAGGAGAAGCCCCAGGGCCAGGGCCAACACCGAGTTACCTGGTCTCTCCCGATCCGCCTGGCCTCACCACAGTGTCAGGCTCTTGGCAGGAGTGGAGGCAGCCTGGGACCTAAGGAGCACAGCTGGATGCCACACTGCTGCTGGGTCTCCGCCTCCCCTCGCTTTCCTCCCCTTTCCCAGCAACACCCCATCCCCAAGGTCACCCAGAGTCAGGTGAAAGCTGTGTCACACCACGTGACTGGGGAGGCAGCCTCTGCTGGGCCTAAGCTGATAACCTCGACATTCAGGTGGTGGCCTTGCCAGGTGGGGGTGTGTCCTGCACACCTGCCAACCCTAAGCACAGCAGACATGTGCTGTGTGACACGCCGCCTTCTGATGCAGCCTCGTGGAATTGAAAGGTATTTTAACCTAGAGTTTTAAATTCAACAATAACTTAATAAAGTTCTTTTTTTTTTTATTTTTTCAGTTCCGGAAATTATACCCAGTATCCTCCCACTGAATGGTCTCCTATTTTAGCTTCCCTCTTAGTACTGAGGGCTTTTTTTTCCTTTGAAGACAAGGTCTCACTGTGTAGCCCAGGCTGGGCTCAGATTTACAGTGTTCCTCCTGCCTCAGCCTTCTGAGTACTAGGATTACAGGGATACGTTAACATGCCCAGCTCCCAGTCCTTTTTACTTTTTTTTTTCTCAGATGGGGTCTTGATAAGTTGCCCAGACTGGGCTCCACCTTGTGATCCCTGTCTCAGCCTCCCAGGGTACTGGGATAACAGGTGTGTGTCACCACTCCCAGGTAAACTTCATGAGACGTAGCTCTCCAGCTTGATGTGCCTTTAACATGTATCATTGCCCTTAACATCAAGCTGTAGAACATTCCAGCACTTTCTGTTCCCCGGGCCTGCCATGCTTCCCTCCCTCCTAGGGCTCGCTGAGACAGCAATTGAGATGGGGTGTGGTGGTGCGCGCCTGTAATCCCAGCTCTTGGGAGGCTGTAAACGGGCAGATCACTATGAATCCAATCTAGTAGTGAGACCCTGAAC